GTATACGAGATATTTGTTTGGAATCATTTTCAAGTTTAAATGGTATATTCATTTACACTTCTTATAGATCCCCATACACAAAGACATTTTATGTAAGCAAATGCATTTCTCATTCCTTGTTGACTCTACTGAAAGAAGAATTTTGATAGTGTGCAGTTTGACAACCGGTGTGAAAATCTTCGAATAGTCAATCTCATAGGCTTGTGTGAAATATTTAGCTATAAGTTTTTCTTTGAATCTTTCAAATTGTCATCAACTTTGTATTTTATTTTGAACACCCATTTGCTTCCAATTGGTTTTTCATCCTAAGGAAGTTTAGTACCATCATGCTTTAGTGTTCAAATCTCTTCTATTATTTTCTTCCAATCTCACTTTTCAAGTGTCTCATTAATGATTTTGGGAATCTGCTTAGTATTAATATTAGATATGAACACTTTAAGGCTGATCATAGCTTCCTATAAGCTACATACTCCTGAACTAGGTATCTTGTACAACTTTTCTTATCGTCAGCACCAAATGAGGAAGGGGATAACTCATGAGTACTAGAATCTTCTCCTGAAATTTCAGGTAAATGTGGACTCGGGGTTTGGTTGGAACAATTTTGTCTTTGCAAGTTGTCTTACACAAACTCGAATTTTTTCTTCCTCTTAATGTATGCACGTTGTTATTTGAGGTGTACTTCAGATTGAATTGATTGTATATTCTCAATAAGAGTAGGAGAGTCAGGTGGAAGAGGAGTATGTGGATTGTAGGTGTCATCAAGTGCATTCCAAAAATGATGTTTATTTGCACTCTCCCTCTGAACATCTGATTTGGAATGGTAGAACTGATATAGAAAAATGTGACATTCATGAAGTTGTAATATTTTCTTGTAACGGGAGAGTAGCACCCATTTCTCTTTTTATTTAAGTCATACTCTAGAAAAATACACTTGATAGATTTAAGATTAAGTTTGCTGCGAGTTGGGGAATGAACGTGAACAAAGGATAAGATTTGAAGTGGTATAGTAAGAGGACAGCACCGATGTGTTGATGGGTAGCTATCAAAATATGAAGTGGTCTTTGAAGTTAAGTACTCGGCTAGGCATGTTATTGATAATATATGTTGCAGTACAAACTGTTTTCGCCCAAATATGTTTTAGAATTTGATGGGAAAACATAATTGAGCTGGATACCTCAAATAAGTGTTTGTTCTTTCTCTTTGCTATTCCATTTTATTATGGACTATCAATACATCAACTCACATGGATGATTTTATTTTTCGAATGGTAGGACCCAATGATGGAGTTGAAATATTTCCTTACATTATTAGTTTTTAGGGTGCATTGAAATTGAGATTGAATCATGTCATGGAAAGCTTAAAAGATTTGAGTTGTTTTTATATTTTTTCCTTAATAGGAATGCCCAATTAGTTTTGTTATGATCATCAATAAATAAGTCAATCCATCTAGCCTCACTTAGGATTTTCATCTTTGATGGTCCTCAAATATCACTGTGAATAATGAAAACAGGATGTGAGAGAATATAATGTCATGAGATAATTATTTCCGGTGTGTTTGACAATTGTTTTTATTGATAAACAATTGTAGATTCAATTAAGCAACATAATTGAAATTATAAACATAACATGACCTATTTTTTTACATACAGAGAGTCAACATACTAATTAGTTTGAGTAACATATGAATGTAGGATCAATTGTGTGTTTATAGAGAGATTTTCCTGAGCATATATAAATCTTGATGCATTTGAGCATTGTCAATCACTTTCTTCGATTCCACCACTTGAGTTTCATAGGAGTTTGCAAGGAATTTTGTTATACATTTCATATTTTGAGTAAGCTCATGGATAGAATCAAATTGCAGTCTAATTGTAGAATATATGAAACAGAGGAAAGAGTAATATCCTGAGAGAGCTCCACATCTCTTTTCCCAACAATGTTTGTGAGATCCGTCCGCAAGTCTTACTGATCTAGATGTGGAAGATTCTTGATAGTTGAGTGGAGCATTGATCTTTCTATTATATGACCAGAGACTTCTGAATCTATGATCCAAGTTCTAAATCTCTCATTACGGGCAAGATGTGAGAATGTTATAATATCTTGGTGTGTCATGAGATTGGTGTGCTGACCTAGGTACTTCAAGTTCTTCCTTAGTAAATGGTTCCGTCCTTCGGATGTGGTAGCATCTTTTCCTTTTGTTTCTCTTGATCTTTCCTTATCCAGATTTTCAGTTAGCATACTTTCCATGGAGTTTCTAACATTTTTCTTTGATATGCCTAAACTTTTTACAATAATCATATGTGGACAATTCTTAAGTTTTGAGTTATATGAAGAATTATGTGTGTACATGACTGAGCTTTCAGTAATTGGACATCAACTTTTTTTTTTTTGCGTTCTTCTCTCCTGACTTCAACAATTGCTTTACAGGGAGATGGAATAGGCTTTGTTCCCATGATCATCTCCCATCCAATTCATGAGTTAGACCTGCTAGGAATTTGATAGTTCACTTCTTCTCGATAATGAATCTAAACATCACAACATCATGTGGATATTTCCACACGTGTCTCAAACATATCTTATTGTAACTAAGACTTTGTCAAGGTGTTTGAGTATTGGATGAAACGTAGTTCTCCTTGACAAGGGTAACGAAACTTGGTTTCAATATTAAACAACTTTGAAATTTATTCCAGTACTGGAATATGTTTTTCTTGCATCCTCATAAAGATTTCTTTGGCAGTTTTGTAGAGTAAAACATTTTCTCCCAGGCACAGTTCCTGAGATCACTAACCCCAACCTTCGCACATGGATGAATCGAGATCATATGGTTATGTCTTAAAGGAGTTCCAATGGCCAAGATGGGATTCTATGGCTCTGATATCATGTTGAGTTTAATTGGGGAGAAAAACTGCTGGAACTATTATTCACAAATATGTTATATATATATATATAGGGAAGCCATTCCTCCTTATTAACAAACTTACCAAATATATCTAACCTAAATCAGAAAATGAAATAATCCTTAAATAAAAAATAGAATAGCGTAAAATAGGAAGGGAGTAAACTATTGAAAGGTTTCCTAAGTTGTCCCAATCAAATACTCCAAGATTTGGAAGTGGCCGGCCGGTCCACACGAGAGAGGGAAAGAATGGGATTTTCTTAGATTACCACACATTCTAATGTTTTTGCCTTCTAGAAATAGAAAATAAGAATAATATAATATACTAAAAATAAAAAAACTTCCTAAAAATCCAACAATAAGTATTGTTCAAAGGATACAAAAATGATTACATATTGAAGATTGTACTTTTTACGAGCTTATGCTTTGCAATTATAGGTGCCCTAAGATGTGTGATGTTAAAAGAATTTTATCTTTAGTTTTAAGTGTTTTATGATTCTAAAATTATTATTATTTATTTTAAAAAAGTGCATTTTGCAGTCGTACTTAAAGTCAAATCATTTATGCGGCATTGTATACCATTTTAACTTATATATAAGGCGAGCACTATAAATTTTCCTCACGTTGCCTGCATGAGTCATATGCTAACCATGCTCTTCTTTCTGTGGGATTCCATCTGTGCCTTTTAAGCTTCATTAGGTATTTCTGTCTTTAGGGTGTCATCTGGGATGAAGCTGTGGAGGCGGCATGTGTGTAATCTAATGCTGTTCGTTGCTTGCTTTCCACGCTAAATAAAAAGGGCATTTACAGAACGCCCAATTCCTATGTTTTTTACAAATGTAACATCTAAACTTTATTTGTTACATTTATACCACCCAAATCTTTCATACCACATAAAATTACCCCTATTTTAAGTTTTAAAAAGTAAAATACATCTTTTCATAGATAGGTAACGTGGCATATATGCACAAATTGAAGTTTAAGTTCTAGATCTGTAAATACATTAGAATTGATTGGTATGTGTGTAAATCTTCCTAAATAAAAAATGGTGATATCAGTGTTTGAGATGCAAAGCAATTGAAAAGCATTGACAAAAGGCACAGGGGGCCGCCCTTAAAGCAAAGCTAAGTACAATAAATAAACAAAACATGATATCTTCTGAACCACAAAATTTTGGCTGGCTATGTTGAAACTTCTGAATTCTTAAAAATATTTACTTTTTAAGTAGTTTCTAAGAAAAATACAAATATGATTTATTTGACTAATACTGCGTGCAATATTCAGCTAAATGTTGCAGATGAAAGAGGCAAAGATGATTCATAAATAGCAAGCACTGTCATTTGGTGACACGAGATTACCACATTGACATGAAACTGATAGCATAATTTGAAGTATCTTTACGATACTTATTTGCAATAATGCCAGAAGCTTAAAGAATTTTGAATTCTGATACTTTTTTCTAGCCCTTTCTGTACATCTTCCTTTGCTTGCATTTTTTACATATTTATTTCTAAATTTCCTTCTCTTTTTTCTTAATATCTTCAGCCTTCCTGACTTTATAACTTGTATAACCATCACAACTTACAATGGTCTGTTTTTTCAAAGCTGGTTATCTTCTTTTAACCGAGTTTATAATTTCCCCGTAGACCATTGATTTGTTTGGGCTCAAAAGAGGTGGAATTTATGCTGAGGATTTTAGGCACTTTTGTTCTGTTTTATATTATATTGAATTCCTCAGATGAAACATGTGATGGTTCTATTTTATTTTTGTTGGTGATTTATTCATTTTACCCTTATTCCTAGTAATATATTTTTGGGGCATTTACATAAATATCACCTAATATCTATGTATTTACATGTCTAACGCATTTAACTTTATCTTTTACATTTATATCACCGAAATCGTTCATATCACATAAAAATACTACTATTTTAACTTTTAAAATGTGGAATACACCTTTTTATGCATAGGTAAGATGGCATAAATGGAAAAATTGGATATTTAAATATATAGGTATTAAGTGGCATTTATGTAATTTTTCCTATATTTTTTTATCACACCTTTTCACTGAGCTGTCTGCTTGTCCTTTTGATCAATTTGCAGCTTCCTTGGTGGGCATTTGTGTTGCTTTGCCTGTCGAAGAGAATTCACTCAATATTTATGCTTCGTCTATTTAATGACTGTGTTGCAATGACTGTGCTTCATGCTGCATTAGTTTTACTTCTCTATCAAAAATGGCATTTCTCTTTGATAATCTTCAGGTAATTATGATATTTTTGAATGACATTATATCATTTAAAAATACCTTCTGATCATTATTTGCTTTCCTGCACATTGGAATTAGTTAGTTAGGCCTTTTCAAATGATTTTAATTGTATTTTCGCGACAGTGCAGCTGTATCAGTCAAAATGAATGTTCTCCTTTTTGCCCCGCCATTGCTTCTTCTCATGTTGAAGGTACATCAATTTTGCAACCTGGAATTTATGGTTTGTTATCTTATATTTATTTGCAATTTTTTATTGTTTGAACTTTGGCAGTATAGGCTCTGAGCATCAAGGGTATTTTATCTGCCTTGTCGTGTGCTGCATTTGTGCAGGTATGTTCCCAAACTACTTGGCTTCCATTGAAAACTATAGCATTCTCTTTAGTTATTTTAGGTAGCTTTATAAATACTTTTACACGTCTTATCTTTCATAATGTCAATGGTATATTATGTATTAACTACCGTATCCATTTTTTTATGATTTGTACACGCTATGCGGATGTAATTTTTATTTTCAATTTAATGTTTATATTTTTCACTTTATACAACGCATTGTTTTTCTTTTAGTTAGATTTTATTTGTTTGTTTATTTCTTTGGAGTTTTTCTAGCCCTGGGATGGATCAACAGGCATCACTATTTCTTTCAACATCTATATGCGTTACAATTATTTTTTAACAATTAAGTTGTTGGTTCAGGTGTTTTATAGTGAATGATTGAATGAAGAATTGTGCATCTGATATAGTCGTAGCCCTCACACACACACACATTATGTTTTTAGTTTTGGCAACCCAAAATATTTGAGGTGGGTCCTATTAGAATATTAAAATAATAACGGCTATCCCTAGCTATTATTATGTGCAGATTTTCTTTATTTGTTGTCATTTGCATTCTTGATTTTCTTTATTCTGTTTTTATTTCTTTCCTTATTATTGCCCCTTGTAATTGAGTTTATATATCCATCTTTCTATCAATAAGACATTCTGCTCTATTCTCAAACCTAACATGGTATCAGAGCCAAGTATTTAACCCTAGCCACCAACTCTTCCTCGAGTTTTCCCTCCCGCCAACAAGGTTCCTATTTTTTCCCTGCTGCCAACTGTTTCCTGCAGCGGTTTTCTCTCCCGTAGAGCAGTTTTTGGCTGTAGCCGTCTGTTTTTTTAGAGGCTTCCTTGCTGTCGTTTTCTGTGTCCCGTAGAGGGGTATTTTTCACCTCTGTTGGTGCTCCCAGCCGGCTATTTTTTCCTGCTGCCAACTTCCCCTCCTGTTGGTTTTCTATGCTGCTGTTTTTCTATCTTCCGTGGACTTTTTATTACCTACTACCGGTACCCCCAGCCAGCTGTCTCCCATCTATTGACCTTTACCTGTCGCTGGCTCCCTTTCCAACCATTAGAGGTCACTGCCACCAGCCAAATTCAGTCGCTAGTAATTCTCCTATCCAGTCATCAGGGTTTTCCCGACAGCCGGTGACCTATAAGCTGAAATCCGCGATGTCTTGAAATCTCAACTAAATTTCTTTTGATTCAGTCGAATTCACGGCGGACTCCTCCAGCACTAAGCCATCCTCAAAAAGTGTTCTTGATTCCACCGGAGGTTTGACTCCAACCTCCGTTCCCATGTAAACTGAAGAACCAGAAACCAACATGAACTTCTTGATCACAACTCACAAACTGGAGATATTAATTTTCTCTAAATGGTCCCAAGCGGCGTCCTTATTCATCAAAGGACGTGGGAAATTCGATCATCTCACAAACATGATCCTTGAACCTCCAAAAACTTACCCGACATATGGAGCTTTGGAAATGGAGAACTCCATGGTTATGTCATGGTTGATCAACTCTATGGAACCGTCGATTGACCGTTAATATATGTTTTTTTTCTTTCGCTAGTTCCCTCTGGACAGCAGTTCGTGATACCTACTCGGATGTAGGAAACTCCAACCAACTCTATGAGGTGTCTAAGAAGATTCGAGAGGCTAAACAGGGATCAAGGACCGTGACTCAGTACTACAATGATTTGGTGGGACTATGAATGGAATGCAAGTTGTATTACGACTAAACTTGAGACTTTTCGTCGACTTTTCTTTCTTCCCAAAAATTGTAGAAAAGGATCACATGTTCTAATTCCTAGCAGGCCTCAACAAAGACCTTGGTGAAGTATGGGGAAGTATTCTTGGTCAGAATCCTTTTTCTTCTGCTCGTGCTGCCTTCATTGAGATCCACCGCGAAGAAAGTGGCAGACTTGTCATGCTTGGCACTTCTACCCCTTCAACTGAATCGTCCGCCTTGATCTCTAATAGTGCTCAGTCCTCTCGGGTAAGTCACTTCACTTATGATTACTGTCACAAACCCAATCACAAGCGTGACAAATGTTGGAACCTCCACGGAAAACCGGCATACAAATTCTTGGCCAAATCCTCTACTACGAAGGGTCCTTACTACGACATTAGAGTCTTCCACGGGTCAATCGACTGTTACCCATAACATTTTTGAATCCTTTGACTCTCTGAATAGTCAGATGGAGCACTTAATCAAGCTACTTTGATCCAATCGGTTTTGTGTTGGACTGTTGACCACACACGCCCGTCAAGATACCATTCCTATGACATTCACTTTTTTTCTATCCTGTAGTTCGTGGATCACGGCATACAAATTCTTGGCCAAATCCTCTACTACGAAGGGTCCTTACTACGACATTAGAGTCTTCCACGGGTCAATCGACTGTTACCCATAACATTTTTGAATCCTTTGACTCTCTGAATAGTCAGATGGAGCGCTTAATCAAGCTACTTTGATCCAATCGGTTTTGTGTTGGACTGTCGACCACACACGCCCGTCAAGATTCCATTCCTATGACATTCACTTTTTTTCTATCCTATAGTTCGTGGATCTTTGATTCAGGTGTTAGACCATATGACTTGATGTTCACAAGCTTTCTCGACATATTATTCATGTTCTGAAAAAGATATGATCAGAATTATGGATGACTCCAATAATTCTATTCCTGGTAAAGGATCTGTTGTTCTAACGACCGATCTAACTCGGGAATCTGTGTTACATGTACTACTATTGTAGTGTAACATTTTATTTGTCAGTAAGTTGACACATGACATTGATGGTGTTACTCATTTATCTTCTGATGTTTTTATCATTCAGGATCATCATTCGGGGTGGATGATTGAAACTATTAAGCTGGTAGCTGGACTCTTCTACTTTCAATAGAAATGCGAGGAGAATGGGGACATATCACTCGACAGTTGTAGCCTATCTCGAGTTACTGAATGTCTCATTATATTGTTGAATTGTTGTTTGGGTCGTCATAGTTTTCAATATCTAAAATATTTATATCCCTTGACGCTTTTTAATCAAAATCTTTCTAGTTTTAATTGTGAGACATGTTAATTAGTCAAATATCATTGGGTTCATTATCTAGCCCACACATACATCTCTTTTGCTCCTTTTTCACTCATTCAGAGCGACATATGAGGGTCCTCTTGCACTGCCAGCTACACAAATAAACATTGATTTCTTACTTTGATTGATGACCACACTCGAATGATGTGAGTATATTTTAAATGACAAATTGCAAATTTCTGCCACTTTTCAAAACTTCTACACTTCTATTTTTTAACTATATTTTAGGTGAATTCTTGGCAAGTAAGGACATCCTCCACCATAGCTCGTGTGCGGACAATAAAATGGGTTAGCCAAAATATAGTTCGTGTGCGGACAATAAAATGGGTTAGCCAAAAGAAAAAACTAACATCTCCTCGACATTGCTCGTTCCATTATATTTCAATCAATGTCTCAAAATGCTTTTGGAATAATTTCATATTGACTACCACCCATCTCATAAATAGAATCATCTCTAAAATTCACAACTTCTAAACCCCTTAGTTGTCTTGATGTCATGTTTTTCTGTCAATCGGACCTTCTCCACTTTAGATCTCAAAATATTTGGATGCATAGCCTTTTTTTGGAACACTAAGCCAACTCGGAGTAAACTTGATCCCATATCCATAAAATGTGTCTTCCTAGGGTACCCAGCAGCTCAAAAAGGGTATCCATGCCTTGATCCTATCACAAACAAAATCTATGCGAATGTTGATATCTTCTTTTTAAAAGTGTTTAGTATTTTCCTTACTCGACCTCAAGTGAAGGGGAGCTGGAATTTTTGGACATTAGTCTTTATCCTACTCCTATGGATGTTCCCCCATTATTCCTACCACTGAATCTCCAGTTCCTATTGTTCCACCATCTCCTCCTCCCACTCTCTGTGTTTATACTCGGTGCACCCTAGTTTGGATCCCGCTACCTCGTTGTTGGACCTTGAATCCACTCCTAGCAACATCCTTGGCACTGCTACTACTCGAAATGAAGACGTGAGTTCACTGAGTAAGGTGCACAATCAGGCATGCTTTCTCTATTCCATGGTAAAATATGTCTCTTTCCATACTTTATCGCCGATCTACAGAGCAATTGTTACTGCCTTGACAGATCATCAGATCTCATTATTGAGGCTGCACTGGCGGATCTGACCAAAAAAACTGCAATAATGGAGGAGATGAATGTCTTTCAGTGAAACCATACATGAGATGTCATAGATATTCCTCGGGGTAAGAAGGCAGTGAGTTGCCGATGGATTTTTATCATAAAATTCAACTCAGATGGCTCCTTTAAACACAAAAATTAACGGTTGGTTGTCAAAGGATACTCACAGACCTACGGAGTTGACTATGATGAAACATTTGCCCTGATGGCCGAGTTAAACACAATTTGGATTCTGTTATCTCTTGCGGTGAATCTGGATTCACCCTTATTCCAGCTCGATATCAAGAATGTGTTTCTGACGGAAAATTAATAAAGGAGGTGTACATGTCTCTTCTCCTAGTTTTGACTCTACTACCTCCCTAGGACAAGTGTGTCGGCTGCGAAAGTCTCTTTATGGACTAAAGCAATCCTCACGGGTCTGATTTTGGCAAGTTCAGAAAGATAGTAGTCGGTCATGTTTTTACTTAAGCTCAATCGGATCACACTCTCTTCTTCCTGCATTCGTTCAATGACCAGATTGTTATTCTTATCGTCTATGTCAATGATATTGTGCTCACAGAAATTGATCTACCAACATTGAAGTCTTTGAAAGACATTCTAGTTGTGTCCTTTGAAATAAAGGACTTGGGATCTCTCTCATACTTCTTAGGCATGGAAGTTGCTCGGTCATCTCGGAGTGTTTGCCCATCTCAGCTTAAATATGTGATTGGCTTGTTAACAGAAAACAATCTGCTTCTATGCAAATCAATGGCTATCTCAATGGATCCGAATGAAAATCTATCTAATATTTTCAATGCAGTTCCTGTTTACAAGACTCACTACAAGCGTCTTGTGTGGAAACTCTTTTAACTCGCCCATACACACCCCGACATATGTCATTCGGTTGGTATAGTAAGTGAATTCATGCATGACCTCAATGAGCACCATCTCCATGCTATCCACTGGATTCTCCACTATTTAAAAGGCACTCCGGGCTCAGGTTTATTTTTCTCACACCACATCTGTTGTTCTATTATTGTTTATACAGGTGCTAATTAGGTTGGATCAGTCCACGATAACAATTTACCTCTGAGTACTGCTCATTTGTGTAGGGGATTCTTATTACATAGAAAAACAAAATCTGTTGGCGGTTGCTTGGAGCCGTAATAAAGCTGAATTTTGATCCATGTTCTTAGGGATCTGTAAAGCTCTTTGGTTATGCATCTTAGTCCGTGAAGTACATATGTCGTCTTCCGACCCTTTGTAGTTGTTCTGTGATAATAAGACCGCCATTAGCACTGCCCACAATCCGACTGTAGTTGTTCTGTGATAATAAGACCGCCATTAGCATTGCCCACAATCCGACCCAACATGATTGTACCAAACATGTGGAGATTGACATACACTTCATTAAGAAAAAACTTGAGTCCAGGGAAATATGTATTCCTTTTATGCTCTCCAGTGGTCTACTAGTAGATATCCATACAAAGGACATTCCTGGGCCACTATTCGATGAATTCAAATTCAGGTTGAACATAATTGACATCTTTGTTTCAACTTGAGGGAGAGTATTTTAATATTAAAATAATAATGACTATCCCTAGTTGTTATTAATATGCAGATTTTCTTTTATTTGATGTTATTTGTTTTCCTATACTCTTTATTCAGTTTTTTTTTTTTCCTATTTCTCTTTATTCTGGTTTTATTTTTTTTCCTTAAGAGCTCCCTGCTCTATTCTCGAACCTGAGAAGTCCTTATCAGAATTTTGGTTGTTCCGCAAGCTTTGTTGATATATTATTTCTAAGATTTGTTACTTTCTTCATTGTTTCGATTCCTTCTGTAATTTCCTTAGTCTTTCCCCTTCTTCAGGCCTTGGTTACTGTCTGGTGACATGTTTTATACCTTTTGGCACTTTTTTTTTCTAGGCGTGGAACATTTATATTATTGGCTTATATGTGGAATTGCATGAGATTATTCCGAGCTTTTTATGGCCCAAATTATTTGTATAGCAACGAAAATTTGGTGTCGTATGTTGCAGGTAGCCTTAGGTTTGCCTTTTCTGCTGACATATCCCACGGCGTACATTTCTAGAGCCTTCAACCTCGGTCGAGTCTTCATCCACTTCTGGTACACACTTTGTTTGAAACTTACAATTCTAATTTTACATGTGCAATGCTTTCGTCCATGGAAGTGCAAATCATAAAGGGGTTTTTATGTTATTAGTAGATTTGCATTCAAACTTCTGTTTATGTTTTGTGGAATGCTTATTTTTTTATTCTTACTGAGCATGAATAATTTGCTCAGTGTAAGGATTCTCATAGGTGGAGATTATTATAGTCAATGCAGCTTGAGCCATTTTAAAACAATCTTAGCTCATTTTCTACGATTTTTCCTTTCCTTTCAGTGCCACCAGAAGATTATTACTTCTATTGCTGTAGAATTACACACATTTGCAACCTAGAGTTGGTTCTTGCAAACTCGCATATATCTGCAGAAATAACAAAATCATTACAAATATTTTGATTGTATCATTTCATAATTTGTGAACTTCTTGAGATTTTTAAGTGAGAGGCTAATATGTCGAGTTGTTCATGGGAACGCACTTTTAATGCCATTAGAATTCGGTAATTTGTTGATAGAATTCGAGATGCCTCTTGAGAACTATTGATGATTCCAATGTT